TACTGGTACATGTATATGTACATATATATATATCATTGGTCACATATTTGCAAACACATTGACTGAAAAACTGCTAAAGCTTACCAAAATAATAATAATAATCTCATGTTATCTTTGGTCAAAGCTTCAAAGAGCTGCTGCAGTGGGACCAAAGTGCCACATGTGGCCCCAGAGCCACAGGTTGCGAACCTCAGCTTTAGACAAACTAGGTTTATTTTATTTTATTTATTTATTTGGCAAACAACATAAAACATCTACAGGGTGAAAACTTTTTTAAGCAATGTATACTTCTAAATAATAAAAACTGAATGAAAAATAAATAAACAGCAGTAAAGATGTAAAATCACTTAGTAAAAAATTATCTTTTTAGTACATTTTACTGTAATAATGAATGAAAGAAACTGAGATTGGCAACAATGCTGTCCAATTACCGAGCCATTCAGATGTGACTTCATTTTGTCAACTGTCCAATCACTGAGCGGTTTACATGTGAGGTCATTCTGTTAACTATCCAATCACTAAGCGGTTTACATGTGAGGTCATTCTGTTAACTATCCAATCACGTGCCCGGTGCGGCTGGCAGCCACAGAACTCGGCTTGTATCTTGACGTGTATCATCAGGAAGTCCGTCAAACTAGTTTTTCGATATGAAGTTAGTCCGTTTTGTTTTCAGCGACATGAAGTGACGAACGGGGAAGAAAGTCATCCCGTTGGGTCGGTTCCGGTCGTAAAAATGGGTCTGTTGGTGGGGAGAGAAGGAGCACTGGTGAACAGAAACGTAATGCTTCTGCTCGTCGTGCTGCTGTCGGTCGGAGTTTCCGGCGCGGTTAACGAGGAGCACAGATCTGTGCAGGAGCAGCCTCCAGCAGAGGTAAAATAAACAAAAATAAAGTTTGACTTCAATCTTCCTGATAAATGTTTTGTTTTGTTGAGTTAAACCGTCTCCGAGCCGCCTGGCTGCGAGCTAACATGCTAACCAACAGTTCCGGGTCTTTGTAGCGATATTTTAAACTAATTTTCTGCCAACTAATCTTGTTAGCATTTACACACTTTCAGACCTGATGTTTATTAGTCTGAAACAATCACATGGTTTATGTTCAAGCATGTCAACTTGCAGCTCGTGCACGTCCACTGCWGGATCAAATGCTATAAATAAATAAAACCAGTCTTGTGTTCTGGTTCACAGAAAGTTTCCACCACGCTTCATCCAGCAGGCCCAGCTGTTTCTGCAGATGCCTCCAGCAAAGCCAACCTGGGCTTCATTCACGCCTTCGTGGCGTCCCTGTCCGTCATCATCGTGTCCGAGCTGGGAGACAAGACGTTTTTCATCGCTGCCATCATGGCCATGCGGTACAACCGCCTCACCGTGCTGGCTGGTGCCATGCTGGCCCTGGGGCTCATGACTTGTCTCTCAGGTTTGTCTCTGCTCCTCTGCATCCAGCCGTGGAGCCATCACTTCCTGTTACTAACGAACGTTTTGCTGCTCGTTTCCCACCAGTCCTGTTCGGCTAYGCCACCACGGTTATCCCTCGGATCTACACCTACTACGTATCCACGGCTCTGTTTGCCATCTTTGGTGTGCGCATGTTGAGAGAGGGACTGAAGATGAGTCCAGATGAAGGCCAGGAGGAGCTGGAGGAGGTGCAGGCAGAGATCAAGAAGAAGGATGAAGAAGTAAGTTGACACACGACTAAAGCCTGACATGTGGTTAGTTCTGTCACTTCTTCAGATAAAAACATGACGGCTGCATCTAAGTACAACAGAGTCTACAAACATGGTGTTAATAAAAGGATCCCCGGTTAGTTGTAACATTAGACTTTATTTAATAAACATATTTTAACTGAGAAATAAAGACTGTAAAAATACTGTCGGTTGTTTAGTTTTTATCATTTTCAAGAACATGTTTTAACACGGACGGAGCCATTTCATTTCCACACAAAGCATTCTGGGTAAATGATGACGTKGATAGGTCCTCGGTGCGAGGCTGCTAGCGAGCTATATCCACCCTGAAGGTTAATCTTGGACAATATCTGATGATCGACTCTTTTAAATGAAACCAGAGAGCGTTGACAGAGAGGAGAAGGTAGAAATGACTCAGCCTGGAACTGAAAATATGGATGGAGGACAACAGAGCTGCTTCATGGAAGAACAACCTCAGCTTAGCCTGGTAGCCTTTGTGCTAGCGCCGACACTGTATTGCCTTATATGTATTAGCTCAGCGCTAGCGCGACAAACTAACAAGCTAAACTGAGGTCCTCCATCCATATTTTCAGTTGCAGACTGAGTCATTTTTGTGTTCCCCTCTCTGTCATGTGGATGGAGGACCTCAGTGACAAGAGGAGAATGTGTAGCACTGAGCTAATACTTATGGTGATAGCGTCGGGGCTAAAGCTAACAGGTTAAGCTGAGGTTCTTCTTCATGAAGCAGCTCTGTTGTCCTCCATCCATATTTTCAGTTCCAGGCTGAGTCATTTCTACCTTCTCCTCTCTGTCAACGCTCTCTGGTTTCATTTAAAAGAGTCGATCATCAGATATTGTCCAAGATTAACCTTCAGGGTGGATATAGCTCGCTAGCAGCCTCGCACCGAGGACCTATCCACATCATCATTTACCCAGAATGCTTTGCGTGGAAATAAAATGGCTCTGTCTGTGTTAACATTTTTAAAAATTGTAAAAACTAAACAGTCTACAGTATTTTTACAGTCTTTATTTTACAGTTAAAATATGTTTATTAAATGAAGTCTAATGTTACAACTAATCAGGGATCCCTTTAAACACACTAGACAGACCTACTAGCCAATCAGAACTCAGATGGGGGAGGGACTTGGTGTTAGCCAAAACTTTGATTCAGATCCAGCAGAGGTTTTTGATTTGATTTGTTTTATTCATTTATTAATTTCATTTAAAACAAAAAAGTTTACATTACAGAAAATACAAAACATATCACAAAATAAAATGAAAGGAAGCAGAACGAAGAAAAAATCTTATATCTGCCCCTTTTTACAAAGAAAAAAAGAAGAAAATATATTAATAGTCTTCTAGATACAAAAATACAACAAAACAGAAACAACAACAAATAAAACTTACATAAATGCCCATTATTCTAATTTATATTTGTTCAATAAACCAAGTTTAATCATTCTTTTAAACACAATGACCCAGTATTTCTAACATCACTCTCCAGATCATTCCACAATTTCGCTCCCTGTATCGACGCACACCGTTCCCTCAAACTTGTTCGAAATCTGTGCTTCACAAATACTTCATTTCCCTTTAAATTATAAGAGGTTTCTCTTTTAACAAAATTTAACTGTATATTGAAAGGTAGTGTGTTTTTATGAGCCTTAAACATAAGCTGTAGAATACTGTAATCAACCAACTCATGAAGTTTTAATAATTCCAAATGACAAAACAATATATAAGGTTGTAGCGGTGCTCAAAATAAAATAAATTTCTTTGTTAGCACAAGTTTGAAAAAGAACTGGAAACAATATTGGAGCTGTCAGAGGAGAAAAACCAGTGGAAGGATGTTTACTGAAGATAAAAAAGTGCAGGCTCAGGATTTTTTTTTCCACTATCACCCCTGGTTTCAGCACAACACCTGCAGGAGGAGGATGCTATAAACTAAAAAGATAAAGACAGCTGACATTTTGTTTCTTCTCTGTGGAGGTTCGAACTTTAAATCCAGTTTTAGGTCTGGTTAGGTGCAGAGTTTAAAAATAATCCAGACCTGAAGACATGAAACCCTGGTCTTTGTTGTTGGTCTGCAGCTGCAGCGGTCCAAGCTGCTGAACGCTGCTCCAGATGTGGAGGCTGGAACGGGAATGGCTCCGCCACAGTCGAGGTGCCCCAGCTTCATTTCACCCATCTTTATCCAGGCCCTGACCCTCACCTTCCTGGCAGAGTGGGGGGATCGCTCACAGCTGACCACCATTATCCTCGCCGCCCGGGAGGTTTGTTACTCTGTCCTCGGCACGCAAACAATCGTACTTGTTGCTTTCTGCCGCTTCATCYTGTTTGTGTTTCCAGGATCCGTTTGGAGTTGCAGTGGGAGGCACACTGGGACACGGTCTGTGTACAGGACTGGCTGTTGTTGGAGGGAGAATGATAGCTCAGAAGATCTCTGTGAGAACAGGTGAGATCTTCGTCACCGTTACTCTAATCTGCTCAGTAAAAGACCATGTGCTCTAATGTGACCTGAGAACATGTAACAAGAAACACAAAGTGAACTAGACATGGGTTTTTACGATGTAAAAACAAGTGTGCATTTCCATGTAGCATGGCTKTGGATGCAGCAGTGCACTTGCAGAATGAACTGTGACCAAGTTCAAATGTGTTTTCTATCCCAGCTTGTGCCTGTCACGTCAGCAGGTGTTTGTAATTAGTGTGATTGTGTTACATTATGACATGTGAAAATATGTAGTTTTAATGAAATTGTTTGTTCATGGCTGGGATTGAACCCTGATCTACTGCATGAAAGCCCACAGTGTTCACCATGAGACTATCGGAGCTGCTGCAGTAGGTACTCCCAGTGGKAGGTTTGTATGTGTGCTGAAAGAGGCCATATTGCCAATGCAATTGTTGACACTAAACTGCAATATATTACAACAATAGAGCAGTATTAAGACAATATTATAGTAAAACATCAAAATTCAATCATATTAGTGTTGTAAACACTGACTGAACTACTGAGTTGAAATATTATTAAACTATGGTGCAGTACCAAGTTGAGTACAGCAGGGGGCAGTATTGTACCATTACAAGGCCCTATTGACTGCCATTATATGAATTTTAGAATAAAGTTTAAACATTAATATTTCAAAAACTACAAGTTGTACAGACACCGAAAGTCATATCCATCATTTGGCACAGGACCTTTACAGATACAAATTATAATGGCAGCTCTAGGACAAAGCATGCAAGAGGAGTAGCGTGCCGAGGTGGAAGATGACGGAATAATAATAATAATAATAATATTAAAGAGAAACAGGAAGACAATAGTGTGTGTGGCAATGCACACTGACTAAGAACAGAAGTTCTGCTCAGTCCATGGAATGTTTCCTGTTTCCCTTTATTAAAAGTAAAACCTTTATGGGTCAGTGACCTACAGACTCTACTGACATCTAGTTTTTATCTGGTCTCAGCATCAAATACAGTGTTAGCTAATCCCAGGGAAACTGTGGGTCATAATATTATGAGCTTGTCCTCATTTCCACAGAGATCAGCATGTTAAAGAAAATTCAGTGTGTCAGCAGGTTTATTGAACCAGTAAAGAGTCGTGACAAACCAAACGGTCTAACGTCTAAAGTGATCTGCCAATGAAAAATAAAACAAAACAACTCCTGGCAGAACCAGGAACAAACTGGTGCTCAAACAAAAACAGCTTCTTCTCTTCCTCCAGTCCGTGTTCACTTTTTACAAAACTCAAACAATGACACGATTAGTTCCAACACCAAACAAATCAGAAGTTCAGAACCTGAACCAAACTAGAGGAGAGCAGGGTGGGCTGTCATCTGCAGGTCTGTAACTGCAGGTGCAGATAAGACCACCAGAGTCTTACCTTGTTCAAACCTGATCACATACAGGCTTTTAGGTGGAGGGGGGTGGTTTTAATTCTCTCCAGTTATTCAACAACACTTTTCTGTGGAACATCACCCTCAGGGTGCTGTACTGGATATACAGCGTACCTATGGAAAAAAAATAATAATCCAGTTCACCCAGAGGTTGGGGCTTTGCAAAGCTTTGTTGTTGAATGTCTCACACAGTTACAAAACATTAGGCTACAGAAATCTTAAAGAAAAATGATGTAAACTAACAGAGCTGCCAGTTTTACATCAACTCCGCAACCTTTCCTTCCTAATCTGTGCGTAAACAGCATAATCTGCACATAAAGTCAGAATAATATTCTGTACATAAACACAGAACAATAACACAAATAGTCTACATGTAAACAGAATAATAATCTACACAAAAACATAGAATAATATTCTGCACGTAAACACAGAACAATTCATTCATTCATTCATTCATAAATTTTTATTCATTTCATTAAAAAACAAAATTTTATACACAATAAAAATACAAACATAACGAAATGAAGGGAAGCAGAGAGAAGAACAAAATCTTATAATATCTGCCCCCTTTTTCCTCAAGTATAAATTCAAACAACAATAATCCTCAGTTAACAAAACAAGAACATCAAATCATTCAAGAACAACAAATTATATGTTTACACATTATACAATTTCATATTTTTTCAACAATCCAACCTTTATCATTCTCTTGAACATGTACTGTGATTTGGCACATTTCACATCATTTTCCAGAACATTCCACAATTTAACTCCTTKGAGTGAGCTGCACCGTTCTTTCAAACGTTCAAAATTTAGGTTTTAATGAACATCTCTGTCCCCTTAAGATTATAACAGCTCTCCCTCTTTGTAAAGTTTTTCTAGATGTTTATAGGTAATGTGTTAAGGTGAGCCTTATACATAACTAACAAAATATTGTAATCAACCAAATCATAAAATTTCAATAATTTCAGTTTACAAAAGAATAGATGGACAATAGTAATGTTTTTGAGTGATAACGCAATAGACCAAAAGTTAATGTTTCCATCACTCCTGCAGCTTTGTGTAGGACACAAAGAGTGTGCAGTTATGTGTGTTAGATGTAGATGAATTCATAAAATACTGAGAACATCCTCATGGACAACATGTGAGGACCATGTCCTCTTTAGAGCTTTATAGTTCAAACCTTCTTCATGATAAAAACATTTTTTAAATTTGAAATAGGTCACAATTTCATTGTGCTCCGTACAATGACAATAAAGTCATAATCAATCAATCAATCAATCA